AAGCTTGTACCTGTTTAACAACAAGTTAACAAGCCTCAGAGCTGACATGTTCACAGGGCTGGGAAACTTGGAGTACCTTTAAATCTAAACAATAATGACATCACCGATATTCAGGCTGGAACTTTCAACTCAACACCACAACTGAGATACTTGTACCTGTACAACAACCAAATTCAAACCATTCCATCCAACTTACTGACAAATCTGATGCAACTGAGAGAACTTAGATTGTCAAACAACAACATCACAACGTTTCCCTTTGAAGATTTGGCAAGACTTCAAGCACTTTACGTTCTTTACCTTCACAATAACGAAATGACAACCCTTCCCTCCGTGGCCTATGACATACTTTCATCCATGTTCAACAACCCCTGGCCTTTACTATGTAAACATTGACAGCAACCCCTGGCCTGTTGTAACCATTCCAGGCAACAACCCCTGGCCTTATGTAAACATTGACAACATTCCAGGCATCAACAGCCCCTGGCCTTATAATGTAAGCATTGACAACAACCCCTGGTCTGGTGTAACCATTCCAGGCAACAACCCCTGGCAGTGTGACTGTAGGATGATTGACTTCAGGCTGAAAATGACAGGAACGTATCCTTTTGAATACCAGATCACATGTTCCCAACCTGACAGCCTCATTGGGCTAAAGCTTAAAGATGTCCCTCCTGAAGATCTCATCTGTGAAGGTCCAACAACTGGTTTGATGTCCCCAGTTACGTCCCCTCCACCTACCACAGTAGCTACGGAGATCCCAGAAACCAGTACTGTCCAGAACTCTTCTATAACATCTTCACCTGTTTCTGGTGTCTTTTCACCTTCAAAACAAACCGACCCTGCGCTCACTTTGTCCCTACCTGCACTTCTTGGTGCTGTTTTTGGTTCAGTAGCAGGTGCTGCCCTCATCATCGGTGGCATCATTTTTACAATCAGACTGAACAAGTAGAGGAAGAACAATACTCCTCCCTGATGCCTGCACCAAAATGCTTCCACTGTACTGAAACTGAAACTGTTTATTCACATTGATTGGCAGCCAATATGCATTGTTGGCTGAATTGCACAGTCAAGTGATTACATGTTAAAATTGCACAAGTGATTACAAGCTTAAGAGAGATACACGACGTTTAAAAAACACAACACTGACGATTAAAATTAGATAGATTTAAAAATTTTGTAGGTCAGGTCCATTAAAACATAGGCGGACTATTATTTACAAATCTAGGTTACTGTCCTAATTTTATGGATTACATCTTCTGAAGACCCCCAAACTAGTGCGTGGGCGAATTAAAAAAAAATCCCGCCCATAAACTGGAATACAAAGCTGGTATTGTGAATTTGCGGTACATAGCGATTTTTACAAGCCAGCACATGCTGGTCTTTTATGAGTCGGCACTGTACTGATTTCTTGGGTTCCGTGGGACTTCAGCAGCCTGGGTGCCGTCATCCATAGTTACAACTGGCTCCCTACATGTAGCTACCATGGACTACAGAGGATGGCACCCAGGCCAGAGCGTCAAAGGTGATGATTTTTTGAGAACAGGGAAAATCGCGGATGTTATCCATAATATTAAATCAGTGTGGCCTAATAGGTATAATACCGGTGCAATAGCTCAATTGGTAGAGTGCTCGCTTTGTAACCGGGAGGTCGTGAGTTCAAACCCCGGCTGGGTCATACCAAAGACAGTTTAAAAATGGTACACCAAAAAGACAGTTACTCAAGCAACTGGATATGATTTTGAAAAATGGTACACACTTCTTTCTCTGCTTAGCACTCAGCACATATGAGAAAGAGTGTGGGAAGGTCAAACGCACAGCACTACCAGTGGACCAGCCCCCTGCTGTAGTGCATTGCACAACTGTGTGTCGCCCAAGGGCTACAGAAATGGATATGGGCACCACCCTACGCTCTGCATAAGGGCATGGGAGACCTTTCCTTTCCTAATAGGTATGATATAATGAAAGAGAGTTGAAGTCCCCTGATCCCTTCAAATGGAACCTTGCATTGTGAGCTCTAGACCCAGCCAGACACACATGCAGATCCAACATAAACTTTAGTTTGGACAATCATACTAATTGATGCATTTTGTCCTACTCAGCGCATAATGTGTTTAAAATGTTGGTAAAAGGATGACTTAGATTTAGCAGATCACTCTATAAGTCTAAATACAACAAACCCTTTAGAATCTTATACCAGTGCTGAAAATGTTCACTTGGTAAAAGGATGACTTAGATTTAGCAGATCACTCTATAAGTCTAAATAAAACAAACCCGTTAGAATCTGATACCTGTGCGACTGCCAGATATATGATTTTATATAAGAGGACATTTTTCTATCATATGATTGGGTAGAGGTGCTAATATAGTACCTGAAAATTTTGGTAGACTAAAATCTGTATGACGGACTCCAGACCAACTTCCTACTGTGGGGTCGTGTGGCGCAGTCGGTAGCGCGTTTGGCTCACACCTGAGAGGTCGTGGGTTCGAACCCTGCCCATGTCACCGATCTTGTGCCCTTGGGAAAGGCACTTTACACGACTTTCCTCACTTCACTCAGGTGTAAATGAGTACCTAGCTTCGGCTAGGGACGTCCCTCAGATAGGATGTTAAATGGAGGTCCCGTGTTTGGGAGAGCCACACCCCACGCACGTTAAAGAACCCACTGCACTTATCGAAAAGAGAGGGGTCCTTCCAGGTGTGAGTGGTTCAAGCCTTACAGTCTGGTCTCGGGGTTGACATCTTTGAAGAGGTGATAGTCACCTGTTATGTCAATCCTTCCACAAATGTGGTAAATCGTCATAAAATAAAGATACTGGTTTCTGGGAACTTCCTATGTCAGACCTTCTGTGGTCTGTGGTTAGGGAATTCCTCCACCCACATGTGTCACTCAATTGTACGAACACACAGTCAGACACACAAATACACGAAAACAATATCCTCCATACATGGAGGCAAAATCAAATCAAATTTTATTCAGTAAGGATCTTGCGGGCAAATACCCGAATTTCGTCCTTATTACAATAGTATATAGAACATTAAAAACACTCTTCATCGTGCACATGAAACAACATAGGTGAACACATATTAAGACGATTGTATAGGCGAATATAGGAGACCTCAATCTTAAGACGATTACACAATTAAAATCTATGCAGGTTAAATACGCAGTTATCACGAAGAATTTAGCTAGGTACAAAAACCAGCCTGAATATCATTTATGCAGCCAACATGTAATATAGCTATCCTTAAGGCTACATATTACATGGTCCCTACATTGGATAGCATCCTTGAAAATCCATTTTCTCAGCCCAGAGCACAGCAATAAGGACGTGCTCCTTACTGTGAACTGTCCAGCAGTGAATAAAGTTCTAAATGTTGAATTAACTTCTCCATAACCACAGAAATATCACACTTAAGTGTGTAAAATGTAGATGCATGTACATCATACCTACATGTATAATTGTTATATAATGATTGTAACTTGAAAACCACAGAAATATCCCAGACTGTCTAGCAGCTTGAACTAATGTAAGGGACAGACACTGGGCAAATGGAATGTTTTTTGAACAGATTCAAACATTTTCTGTATTGTTTTTCAAAGTAACATTATCAAACCATGCAGAATGAACCAGATTATGAATTGTACCTAAATTACATATTAATAAAGACAATACCATCTGGAATTCAGTTTTTGGAAAACCAACTTTGCTCAACTTTCAAGTTTCTAATCAGCTCTATCAAAGTAATGTGTAAAACTAGTTGGCATGTACTTTTAACATTTGTATAGTTACCTACATGACATTGTAACTTGAAAATGTTTAATTCTCACAGCTGAATTAGCTTTCAATTGATACATGTATTAAGTGTATCTAGAAAAATGACTTGTAATTGTGATGTTCATTTGGTAGTCTAAGAAAAAGTACTACATATTGATTATATATAACATAATAATAGAGCTGTACAAACTAAAGTCTTAATAGATCGAGGTCACTGCAGATAATTAGTCTGTATAATATACAGTAATTATACGTCATCTATTGTACATGTAAGTTTGTAACAATGAACATTTCAGCTAGCTAAGATGTAATTATCGATTATAACATATACCATTTGGTATGTCAGCTTTAACTTTACTTTTAGAAGAACATAGTTGCAAAATGATTATTTTGAACAGGTAAAGACAGTGATTTGATACTTCATAAAGTATAATTTATGATCATAGTGTTTTGTGGCCCATGTAATAGGAAAATAATGTCTGTTAACTTGATGTAATATTTTGTTATATTGAGGGATCTTTGACACATGTATGCTTGTGAAATGATGATGAAGTTCATATTAATAATACTCTTTGCTAATACATAATCCCTTGTGTGTGCAAGTGTATTTCTGTGATATGTGTTCAGTGTGTGTACAATGTGTATGTTTGTGTGTGTGTGTGTGTGTGTGTGTGTGTGTGTGTGTGTGTGTGTGTGTGTGTGTGTGTGTGTGTGTGTGTGTGTGTTGTGTGTGTGTGTGTGTGTGTGCGTGTGTGTGTGTGTGTGTGTGTTTGCAATTGTGTGTGTTTGTGTGTGTGTGTGTGTGTGAGTGTGTGAGTGTCTGTGACTCTGTGTGTGTTTGTGTGTGTGTCTGTTTGTATGTGTACATGTATGTATGTGTGTGTTTGTGTCTGTCTGTCTGCCTGTGTATGAGTGAGTGTGCAGAAATATGTGTGTGTTGTATTTGTGTTTGTGTCTTTTGTGTTAAAATGTGTCATTATGGATGTTTGTACATTTGTAAGTATGCACCATGTAACTACAGAAATGCATGCATGTGTAATCTACAAATAGTGGTACATATACATGTAATGATACATGAAGTTCTAGTGAACACAATTTTTGATGACTATCTAACCATCCTGATCAACGTCCAGCCAAGATAAGGCAAGTAGGTCAAGGTTACGTGTCACTGAGTGGATGGATCGAGTTTCAAGTTGTTTAACTTATGAGACACCTGTAAAACAGAGGAGAGTAGAATATTCTTCAAGCTCAACTGGTGCAAGCTTAGGCCACACCAATTTAATTTGTTGGTTCTCTGATTTTTTCAGGAAAAATATGAAGCGACAGGGCGAAAAAAATAAAAACAGATCTAGGCATCCTATTATAGCCCCAAATGGTACGATAGGAGCCATGAAGTCAACACACCAGGCTGGTTCAAAATTTAAACAATGAATTTTGGACTTTTAATGATACCACTGCATTGAAAGATGGAATAACTGTAACAACTAGGAAGAAAAGGACTGTTTTCAACTATTGGGGGCAAAATATGAGCATTTTGCAGTTGATTCTGAATTTTTTTTTTTTTTTTTGCAAATCAGAAAAAAATGAAGAGGCGAATCCGAGAACCAACAAATTAAATTGGTGCAAGCTTAGGAGAGAAGACGTGACGGTCCCAAATGCCTTCAGTGGCCGATGTTCTCACTGTCTTCAGGGAAGGGAGGTTTGGACAAACTTGGAAGGTACCACACTTCATTTTGTTAATTTCATCTTAGTTTCACTTAAAGATATTTTTGTAAACAACAGAGGTACATACATTAGTAGTACTACATAATATTGTGTACATGTGTCTCCATGAGACGTATTTTGCAAAATTTATACAGCTCAGATGTTCGATATTCGGAATTTTGAATTCACAATTTCAACTGTTTTCCTTCTATGTGTCAGCAAATGTAGTCCAGGGGTTATATCGACCTTGGACCAAGAGGTCAGGGGTTCGAATCCCGGCTGCTGTCACCTGACTTGCACGCTACTAGAAAGTGTCGCAGTCCCTAGTATGGGACGTTAAGCTGTGGTCCACTGTTCATTGTCCTCGTCAAACTTTGAAGAGGTAGGAGAATCGAATTTCCCTGGTAAACAAACCTGTAAGTACTGTACAAAGCGTCTTCTCTGTAACCACCAGAATTTAATAGTTCTGTCATAAGAAATACTAGTACATTATTGGGACAGATATTACAAGAAGAACTTACAACAATTGTAGCATGGTACAACGTATAGCTGCAGCATATTCACATATGGTATTGCTAACATTTATCTAAGAGTACTTAGTCTATTAGTAACAGTTCTACATTCAGAATAACATGCAGTTGCTTGCAAATATTGCCTCTTGTTTGTTACATAACATCTGATTATTTAGTCCTCGACTTTTGTACTTTGGGTACAATTGATTGTGACATGTTATGATGGACGCCACTTTTCAATAACTAAATCAAGTCACTGTGATTTTTCTATTGTTTTCAGGTTTGACTGGCCAAGTTTGGAGTTGTGCTGCTGACCAGTTGTCAATCTTTGCATCAACACTGTCTCTGTAGGTATTTAGGTTTGGCCCCAACTACATTGTATCAACTTCTTGTTTCAACTATCTACAAGGTCTACCTGCATTGCAAATACTAGACAGCAAAATGCCAAAGTGCAATTGGCAATTGGCACTTTGCCTTCTCTAAGTGCTTGCTTTTACATATTTGCATTACTCTTACTGTAGACTATAAGTAATGTAATTATTCTTGTTCACTGTGAATAGAATAGTGCTGTTTGATATTAGACTAGTTAATATACTGTACTGTTTAGCACTTTGCTATCATAACCATTACACTTGTGCAATAAAGTTGATTGATTGCCATCATTAACAACAGTATCAACTTGAAGGTAAGTTTTGGTCCTATGTTCAGAGTACAAGCTCATAGTCATGTAAAAAGTATTATGTTGTCTACAGAAAACTTCAAAATCTACAATCATAATCAGAAGCATTCAATGGTATATGTAGTATCTTGTGTGTTAAATGCTGTAGATTCGACCAATGACTGCAAAAGCACAATTTCTCATACATGTGTCTTTGTACAATAGACTAGTCTCATAGTATGTTTCTTATATAGCATATTTTTTATATAGCATATGTTAATATATTGTGCAATAAAGTTGGTTGTTTGTCTCACATCTTGTTCCAGGACAGGTGCACCATGATGTTTAAGAAGCCAGCAGGTGTGCTGATGTTCCTCCTGGTCATCCTTAAGGTGTTGGGAACAGCGGAAACCTGCAGATGTTCAACCTCCTCCTCCCCCTTCTTCCCTCCCTCCTTCTACTGCAGCTGTGTTAGTCTCAACCTCACCAGTGTTCCACAGAACCTCTCTACAAACATCACAAGTCTGAACCTCGAAGGGAACCACATCACCACCTTAAGTCAGTCCGATTTCTCTCAGTATAGGAGCTTAGATAATCTAGATCTTAGGCAGAATCGTATCTCCATTATCAATCCTGGAGCGTTCTATCACTTGTCGAACTTGACAAAATTGTCGCTAATGTTTAACGGTCTAACAAGCCTTAGATCTGGCATGTTCACAGGACTGGGAAAGTTGGAAACACTTTTTATATACAGTAATAACATCAGTGATATTCAGGATGGAACTTTTAGTGCCACACCACAGCTAGATGTTGTGTACCTGTCTGGCAATAAGTTAAGAACCCTCAGAGCAGGCATGTTCACAGGGCTGGGAAACTTAACAGGCCTTTTTCTAGGTGGTAATGACATCACCAGTGTTCAGACTGGGACCTTCAATACAACGCCACAACTGAGAAGTTTGTACTTAAATAGCAACAAGTTAAAAACCCTCACACCAGACATGTTCACAGGGCTGGGAAACTTGGAGACACTGTATCTATATGGTAGTGACATCGGTGATATTCAGGCTGGAACTTTTAATCTAATTTCACAGCTAAAAAACTTGGACTTGGAACATAACCACATCCAATCCATTCCGTCCAACTCACTATCAAATCTGCTGCAGTTGACTTCCCTCAAATTATCTTACAACAACATCACGGCATTTCCCTTTGAAGAATTGTCAAACATTCAAACGATTTCTACTCTACACCTTGACAATAACCTATTGACGACTCTTACATCCACAGCCTATGATGTGCTTTCCTCACTATCTGATGTAAGCCTTGACAACAACCCCTGGCAGTGTGACTGTAGAATGGTTGACTTCAAGTTGAAATTAACAGAATCTACACGTAGAATGGTTCACCTTAATAAGATAATAGATTCTAGTACTCCATTTGAAAACCAGATCACTTGCTCCCAACCTGACCACCTCAGTGGACTAAATCTTAAAGATATCAAACTCGAAAACCTCTTCTCAGGCTGTTTTGAGCCAAAAATTGTGAGATTCGAGCGAAGTGACAGCATGGAATTGGCACAGGGGGAAGATCTCCTAGCACAGTTAGTGTGTGAGGCGTCAGGAATCCCCACTCCAACCATAACAATCATTCCCCCATCTGGACTGAATGCAACTGTGGAGTCAGGTGTGATTTTTGAGGATGGTAACGTAACATTACGAAATGTTACAGCAGCTGATGCTGGTTTGTACGTCTGTATTGCTTCGAATCCTGTCGGCTCAACTTTTGCCATCTTCTCGACTGAAGTTGTTAAGCCTGTGTCTTCTCCCAGGTTCACCCTACCCGTGTTTGTTGGCTCCGTGAGTGGTGCTGTAGCTGGCACAGTCGTGCTTGGTGCCATCGTTCTTACAATCTGGCGCAGGACCTGTGCCAAGTCCAGTTCTGTAGCCTTAGACACAGGCGTTGCTTTAACAACACAGTTATGAAAAGTTTCATGGCAAAAAGATGGTGTGCGGCCATCCCAGGTACTTGTAATTGCATAAGGGGAGCTCCTTGTACTTTTTCAAAACCTTTTTTAAACATTTTTTTCAAACCTTTAATCATTGATGTACCCATTTGTAGGTATTGTGCTTTAATCTGTGATGAGGTTCTACATTTTACCAAAAGCTTAACAGTCATCCTAAGGATTCAAGACCCAATGCCAGCCAGAGGGTTATAAATTTTAATAGTGCATTAATATAAAAGTGCATGAAGCCATCATAAAGACTTAACAAACAAGAACACTGGCACTCCTGAATAGAATAGCCTGAATATTACGATATTTATGAGTCATGTAACATCTACCTAAGGACTAGATACACTTATAATATAATAAATTATATAATTCGTATTTTAACACGTCTTGACTTATGAGTTTCCCATGTCCAAGTAGACAAAATTGTTAAAAACTTGCCCCATTGAAGACGTGACTTTCTTGAAATTTCATTTACTATTACTTTAAATCTTTTCATCTTTTTTTTTGCCTTGAACTGTCAAAGTTCATGCCCTTACAGGGCCAAATTATATGCCTTTATTCATGATGTATGTTATATATATGGCCCTCCTGTCAATATTGACAATTGTAAAATCCTAATAGTTACCAACCCTACAGCTTCAGCTATTGCTGAACAGTCCTATACGAGATTGACATGTACATAATATACATAAATTATACATGTATATATGGCCCTCTTCAGTCAATATTGACAATGGTAACATCCTAATAGTTACCAGTCCTACAGCTTCAGCTATGGCTAAACAGCCCTATAGGAGATTGACTGTCACAGTACAGTTACTTTACATCCCTGTGATTAACAAGCTGAAGGGTTTGCAAACAACTTCAGAGCCTTGAGTGTCTGCATATGCCACTTTACTGGTTTGCCTATATTTAATATCTCAATAGTTTATGTATGCATGTAACTTTTGTACCCCAATAGAAAATTGTATATTTCTAAATATGATGTACAGTTTTGTTACTCAGCATTTTTCTTGATTTCATGAAAATGATGAATTATTTGCTATGGCTAACTTTATGTGGTGTTTAATGATACTTAACTAATAATATTACATTACCCCCTTGTTTAACCACTTCTGCAATATTGTTATGAAAACAACAGATTACAACCTTACTACACGTGATAAAGATGTTGGCTTTCTTCTCAAGTACTAGGTAAACGCGTCTTATGGATGTTTTCTGATATTTACTTGACTCTAAAGTCCCAAGTATTTGATAGCTATTGCACCTCAATGAAGTTATGGTTTGAAGTGTACATAAACAATATGTACATAATAATATAACAAAGTGTATATAAACAATAATTATGAAAAGGCTATTCCAATTTGATGTGTTTGTTCTTAGCTTCTGAATCGACCCTCAAATACTCACATTTTGGCCCCATCAGTTGCTACATTCATCAATGCAGTGGTTTGATTAAAAGTTCAAAATTCATTGTTTGAACTCTAAAGCAGCCTGATACTAGTAGTTTGTTGCATCATTTTGGTAAACAATACTCATAGGAAATTCATACTCTACTTCTGGATAATTACAGAGATAATTTTCGGATATTTCCAGTGACATACATAAATATGAGTAACTGGAAAAAAGTTGAACATGACAATTGACAAAGGTTCATATAGACTGTATCAACCTTTTTTATCAACCAGTTTTTCCAGGTTATATAATAATGTCACGTGTTGAGGTCTGTTAGTTCATTTAAGTGATGCTAAAGAAGAGTGGTGGATGTCACTCGAAGCATCCAAATTTCTGTAATTTATCGGGTACATGTAGTAGAGTTTGAATTTCCTAATAGTATGAGCACTTTCGTGAAATTTCCTTTCCCAGTGAGTTGTTCAGGTCCTGCCTTGAACTGTCAAGGCCATGTCCTTACAGAGTCATTACTAGTTTATTCCGGATGCGCCGTTCTGAGGGTGATTAATTATAACAATCTCAGGATTTTGCAAACAACTTCAAAGCATTGACAATGATATGGATACAGATGCCATCCTTTACAACTGACAACAGTAGAGTACTTAAAGATGTCTTAGACCAGGTGAGCACATACAGGTACAGGTGATCGTGTCAGGAACATCTCTGAATCCTTCCACACGGCGCCTCTTGGTAAGTCTTATTCTTTAAGATGTATGTATCTGACTTATGCTGAAAATCCTGTTGTGACTTGTTTGTTACCAATGAATCCCATGTTTGGGTCACTCAATCAGGTAGAAAGTTGTTGCAATGCCAATTTCTGAGGCCTTGTCTTTACTTCTTACTAAGATGTGTTCTGAACCGTGATTTGCTTGTTGTAACGGCTGCAGCGGTGATTTTGGATGGTATTGTTTATAGTTTATTAATACCACAATTGCCTTGTGTCCAGTCTATCGTGGTTTAGTCTCTACCAGACTAACTACGCTGGCTATATATAGGAGAATATTTCCCGGGGGAGTTTGGCCGCCTTGTAGGTTTGACTGGCCGAGCAGTTTAAAGAAACTACCTCCCCGCGGCCGGACTCCCTTGGGCAATTTTACTCTTTTTTGCCAAATTCTACGATCCGTATTCCCGTAGAAAGGCCTGGTGGAGACTAATCACGGTTTAGCCAGGCTCTCTTTGGAACTGTAGACCTTCCCACCGTTTAGTTCAACCAGGCTGGAAAGTAGAAGTTTTGCACGGCAGGAGTTTGATTAGCCCACCACAACTTTGGGCAAAACTTACTGTGGAGTCTAGCTGAACTCGGCGGTGGGGATTGTCTAGAGGCCTGAAGAGAGCCCGCCTGGTCCACGGTAGAATGGACCAGGCTACTTTTGCTCCGATATATCCTGTTCTCTGGCGCTGATTTTGACTTTGACTTTTTTTGCTGCTACTTTTAACGGATTTCATGCTGCGTTGTCAGATCTGTAATATGCCAGTTGAATCTGATCTAAGGAAAGTCTTGTTACCAACATAAAAGTAGAGTTACGTGTAATTGCAAGACTTTGGCACATCTCATCATGCTGAACTCACACATAACTACCTAGTAACCTCATCACCAAATGAATAGAGAGTTAGTTGGTTTTTGGTAGACAAATGACTACTTTTGTGTGCTAACTTAAATTGTTGGTCACATTACCATGATGTAACCATTAATGTTTTTGTCCAACAGTGCCAAACAGTCATCGAAGCCCTCTTGGCCAACCTGATAGGAAAGTCTACATAAACGTCGCGGGTAAGCTTGGAAAATGTTCAGATTTTTTTATTCCAACAGTTGATGAAAGTCTTTTCTTCTTAGTTTTCTTGCATGAATAAGTAAAACATCATTATTTGAAAACTTGGCCATAGACTAGTGACAAGTTGTTTTTTTTTTTATTTTGTTGTGGTTTGCTGGCTGGCTGGCTGGCTGGTTGGTTGGTTGGTTGGTTGGTTGGTTGGCTGGCTGGTTGGTTGGTTGGTTGGTTGGCTGGCTGGCTGGTTGGCTGGCTGGCTGGCTGGCTGGTTGGCTGGCTGGCTGGCTGGTTGGTTGGTTGAATGGTTGAATCGTTGACTGGCTGGCTGGCTGGCTTTGATACATGTGTTGCTTTAACTTGCTTATAACATATTAAAATATGTAATCACTATGAAACATATGAAACAATAAATAACATAGATGTCAGTTTTGTATGTGATAGTATCATGATCAAAGGTGTTTTTTTGTACCAGGACAGGAACTGCATGATGGATAAGATGACAGGTGTGCTGATGTTCCTCCTAGTCATCCTTAAGTTAACTGTAGAAACTGATCATGACTGCAGCTGCTCGTCTTCAGAATGTGACTGCAGCAATCAGGACCTCACCAGTGTTCCTCAGGACCTGCCGACAACCATCACAAAGTTGGTCTTGGGAGGGAATCAAATCACAACTTTAAGTCAGTCTGATTTGTCACGGTATGAGAGCTTGGTCGAATTGGGTCTTGACAGTAATCAAATAACAGACCTTCAGTCTGACATGTTCACAGGGCTGGGAAACTTGATGACGATTTATCTATATTTCAATGATATCAGTGACATTCAGGATGGAACTTTCAGTTCTACACCAGAAATGAGAGAGTTGTACCTGCAACACAACAAGTTAAAACGCCTCAGAGCTGACATGTTCACAGGGCTGGGAAAATTGGAGATTCTTAGGCTGTATGCAAACGACATCAGTGATATTCGGGCTGGAACTTTCAGTTCAATGCTACAACTGAAAGTCTTGTACCTGTATAATAACAAGTTAAAATCCCTTAGACCTGACATGTTCACAGGGCTGGGAAACTTGCAAGAACTACATCTGCAGAATAATGAGATCACTGATATTTACCTAGGGACTTTCAGTCCAATGCCAAATGTAAATAGAGTCCAACTGTTTGCCAACAGGATCACAATATTTCCCTTTGAATATTTGTCAGACATTCAAACATTATCTTCTCTTTACCTCGACAATAACCAAATGACGACCCTTCCCCCTGTGGCCTACGACGTACTTTCATCCATCGCAGATGTTCAAATTCACAACAACCACTGGCAGTGTGACTGTAGGATGGTGGAATTTAGGTTGAAGATGACAAAATCAAGTTCATTTGATGAACCGATCACTTGTTCCCAGCCAGACAACCTCAGTGGGCGAAACCTGATAGATGTCAATCTTAAAGATTTGATGACAGACTGTCAAAAACCGAACATTACAAGGTTTGCGAGGATTGGAAAGTATCCTCTGATACAGGGTATGACTCTTCGTTTGTTCTGTAATGCCTCCGGAATCCCCACACCAGAGATCACAGTCGAACTCCCATCTGGACTCGAGCACAAGGCAACAGAAGAGTCAGGTGGGAGGGTGACTGTGCTGGCGAATGGTACAATTATCGTAAAAGAGGTTACTGCACAGGATTCTGGTCAGTATGCCTGTATCGCAGCAAATTCTATTGATTCCACGAAGGCCTACTTCTCTGCAGTCATTTCCCCAAAGTTTCTTGTTCCCAGTTTCCCCCTCCCCATTCTTAATATCCTCTACCTGATTGCAGCTGTAGCCGGGACCCTTGTTGTTGTGGCCATTGTGCTGGCGATCTGGTGTAAGTGTTGTCGCAAGGACCGTTCTGTAGCTGTAGGCCCCGACAGCGGTGTGGTTGTTCTCAACACGAGTCCACCGGCTGTGATGTACAGTGGTCATGGCGCAAGGGTGGCCTGGGGGCATCCCATGGCCATGGCAAGGGTCTGAAGCGATTACTTATTGCTTGTAGTTCTTCTTCTTCCTTTTAATGCCCACGATCATCATACTGATCATTCTGGCATTCCGGATTGTAGAATTTGTACCATCGCACACCGGGGCATGCCCCTACTCTTTTTCAAAAGGTGTGATGGGATCTTTAACGTGCTTGGGGTGTGGCTCTCCCCAAACACAGGACCTCCATTTTACGTCCCTAACCGAAGCTAGGTACTCATTTACACCTGAGTGAAGTGAGGAAAGTCGTGTAAAGTGCCTTTCCCAAGGGCACAACATCGATGACATGGGTGGGAATCGAACCCAGGACCTCTAGGTCATGAGTCGAAAGCGCTACCGCTGGGCCACACGACCCTGCAAGTGTTGTTACAGTTAGTTTTCTACTAAACAATTCTCACTCACCTAAAATCCCACCCTAAAGTCTCAATTAAGCATTAAATGAAACGCAATCCTGAAGATCAAATATACCCGCCCGTATCGCCTAAAGATTGCCTTTTATTATATACGGGCAGATTGAACCATCTAATCAGCAAATGTCAGCCCTTAAGATTAAAAAACAGACAAGAATAAGCAACCAGCCTGAATATCACACAGTCAGACTTAAGACTTAGTCTTGCATGTAATAGTTATATATAGCCTCAGCACTAAACACTGTTAGCTTGTACAGGCTTTAAAGTTTATGCAATGTCTTACATAGGAATAAGGTAGCCATCGAATGATAATCAACTGTATCTGATGTAATTTGAGTGATGATTTGAAGAAAATATGGTAGTTTGTTTGTTTGTTGGTAGCGAGGATCTATATGTAATATTTTACTGTCATATGGTCCTCAATAGTTGATGTATGGAAGAAAGTAAGAAAGCAGACCAATAATTGTGAATATCTTAATCTTGATTTATATAATATATAATATTATATATTGTTAGCTTAAAAGTTAATCTGTGTTGGTACAAATCATTATGAAATAAAGACTGAGCTTTAAATTCCAACACAAGATACAGAATTGGTAAGTCCCAATTCTGTATCTAGTGTTGGAAGTTAAATTTCAGTCTTTTTTTCATGATTATATATTGTTTTGTATACCATAGAAAAACACTATTTCTAAGTATGATGCAAAGCTTTGTTACCCTTTCACGGGATTTGATGTTGAACTATTTGCTTATCTTTCTGTGGTGTTTTATATAAGGGCACCTGTTAATATATTGATTACATCACCCCCAATGTTCAAACAATTCAGAAATATTGCTATGGAGACAACAGATTACAAACTTACTGCACGTGATGAAGATGTTGTTTGTCTTGTTCAAGGACATCTATTATTAGGTGGAGGTTTTATAGCTGTTGTAAACTTAAGAGAGCAGTCTCTTAATAATATGATGTTTACTTGATTCTCAAGTCCCTAAATCACTGAGTAGAGTAGAGTAGATCTTTCGTCTCGGTAGGAAGTTCTCTTCCACTGTGAGCCGCTCCTTGTAGTTTACTGCGTAGACATGGTCATCTTGTGGGGGTTGTCCAATGCCCGAGGGTTGTACACTACTGGGTGGCTTCTCATGTGTTTGTCCAGTCTGTCTTTAAAACTGTTCACACTTGGGGCTGTTACCACCTCCTCGGGTAGACTGTTCCACCATGTTACGACCCTGTTGCTGTAGAAAAACAGCCTTTTGTTGTTGTTCACTGATCTGACAGCTTGCACTTCAAGTAAGTTATGGTTTGAAGTGTATATACATGATTGTGTAATACCATGTACCATGTAAGGCCGGTACGTTTTAACTCGTCGGTTTTCAGGTTCTACACCAACCCCAATCCTCGTCTTTCATTTAACTGGGATTGTTCAACATTTCCTGCAATGTTTTGTATAATCCACATTTCAAGATGACTTGAATTTTAGCCTCCCATGTTCAACTTCGGCAAGTGGAAGAATTGTTCTTTCCCAAATTATGACAATTGTTGTCATGTAAATGGCTCTCTTGACATTTTCTTTACCAGTTTAGATCGTCCAACTCTTGCTTTGGCCTGCCTAAGGTCATGTCCTTAATTTAAAAGAGTCAGTACGAGGGCCAATATTCCTGTTTGACCCCCTGAATGTGATTAACAACCTCAATGGCTTGTAAACAACTTCAAATCTTTGAGTGTCTGCAGGTGCCATTCTTTACAACAGACAACACCACTTCACGGCTACTTTAAGGTGCCCCAGACCAGGTGAGGTACTGCAGGTAAAGGTGATTGTGGCAAGAACAAATCCTATGTGTCTTCCAGACGTCTACTCTTGGTAAGTCTTATTCTTTAAGATGTATGTATCTGAACATTTCCCTTTGTGACAAAAGTTCTGGCTAGTTTGTTCCCAATCCTGTGTTTTCAGGTCACTCAATCAGGTAGAGAGTAACTGTTGTGATGCCAATTCTAGCCTTGCCATTACTAGTGATATGAGCTGCGATGTGCGTGGTACTCAAAACAACTGCAAGACTTTGGATTCGTAACTTTTATCTCTAACTATAGCTAGGTGTCTAGTCTATCGTGGTGTGGACAAGCTTCCTTGGGGCCTACATTGTGTAGACAGAGCCAAGCTCAACTATAGGCACAACGATTTTGCTGTACGGTAACGTTTAACAAAATTGGTGTTGCATTGTCACATCTGTAACATGCTGGTTAAATGAAGTAAATCTATGGTTAACTCTTCTCCCAGCTGTCTAACCCTGTAACCATTAGAGACTTGGTAGCCGAATGGCTACTTTTTGTGTGATAAAGACTAGATTGTTGGTCACATTGCATTGATGTAACTAATAACGTTAACTTTGTTTCTATGCAACAGGCTCAACAGTACCAAACAATCATAAATTGTCGAAGCCGTCTTGACAGGAAAGTCTACATGTACATCGTGGGTAAGTTTGTTTTTTTTCAAACAGTGGCACACATTGACTTTTCTAAAAGCTTTTTAGTCTGTAACTGTTAAAAAAATTGTTTTAAAAGTGTATGAGTGAACTCTGCAAGTGTTTATGTATTGAAAAGTCACATGAAAGGAATTATTTTTAGTCCTTTTTTTTGGTTGGTTGGTTGGCTGTTTGCTTGTTTGTTTGTTTGGCTGGTATTTTTGATACATGTGTCTTAGAATATGAAGTAAGAGACAACAAATACATGCTTTTCAGTTTTGTTTGTAAAAGTATCATGATCAAAGGCATTTATTTTGTACCAGTACAGGAATTGCATCATGGATAAGCCAGCAGGTGTGCTGATGTTCCTCCTGGTCATCCTTAAGGTGTTGGGAACTGCAGAAGCTGACTGTAGCTCAACTTGTTCAGCCACTTCATGTACCTGCACCGGTCAGGACCTCACCAGTGTTCCTCAGGACCTGCCGACAACCATCACATGGCTGGATTTGAGAAGAAATCAAATCACAACGTTAAGTCAGTCTGATTTCTCACGTTATAGGAGCTTAGAGGATTTACGTCTTGATTATAATAGCATTTCTACTATCAACAGCCAGGCATTCTATCACCTGTCAAACTTGACCGAATTATGGCTTGACAGTAACCGTATAACAGCCCTCAGGTCTGACATGTTTGTAGGGCTGGGAAACTTGGTTCTCCTTATTATAGTGCGTAATCCTATTAGTGACATTAAGGCTGGAACTTTCAATTCAACACCACAGCTGAGAAACTTGTACCTTAATTCTAACAAGTTGACACTCCTCAGATCTGACATGTTCACAGGGTTGGGGAACTTGGAGTGGCTTTGGCTGTACTTTAATGATATCAGTGATATTCAGGATGGAACTTTTAATTCAACACCACAACTGACAACGCTGTACCTGTTTAGTATCAAGTTAACAGCCCTCAGATCTGACATGTTCACAGGGCTGGGAAACTTGCAATACCTTTATCTATTCCATAATAGCATCAGTGATATTCAGGATGGAACGTTTAATTCGACACCACAACTGACAAGGCTGTACCTGTCTAATAACAGGTTAACAAAACTCAGAGCCAACATGTTCACAGGACTGGGGAACTTGCAGACACTTGATCTATACGATAATGATATCACTGTTATTCCAGATCATACTTTTAATCCAACCCCACAACTCAAATTCTTAAACCTGAGCAACAACCACATTCAATCCATTGCGTCCAACTTACTGGCAAATCTCCTGAACCTTACAGAAGTCTCTTTATCTGACAACAGCATCACAGCGTTTCCATTTGAAGACTTGCTAAACATTCAAACAATTGTTACTTTACACCTTGACAAAAACCAAATGACAACCATTCCGTCCACCGCCTACGACATACTTTCCTCCATCTCTGAGGTAAACATTGACAACAACCCCTGGCAGTGTGACTGTAGGATGGTTGAGTTCAGATTGAAGATGACAGGAACTTATCCATTTGAAAACCAGATAATCTGTTTTCAACCTGATAGCGTCCATGGTCAGAAGCTTATCGATATCAGTCCTGAAGATCTGATGTCATATTGTGTACCAAGAATTGTGAGGTTTGAGAGAGGAGACAACATGACATTGTATTTTGGAGATACACTGTATTTGGTCTGTGAAGCTTCAGGAATCCCCACACCAGAAATAGTTGTTGTTCTTCCAACTGGGCTTCATGCAACGTCTGATGTGGATAATAGAGTCACTGTGAGCATCACTGGTTTAGCAATTACACTGGCAATAACAGAGGTAACATTAGCAGATGCTGGTCTGTATGCCTGTATTGCAACAAATCATGTGGGCTCCGCAAGTGCCATTCTTGATGTAAATATAGTCTATGAAGAGCCAACCATTGTCAGGTTTGAGCAAAGTGAAGATAACCCATTGATAGAGGGAGACTCCCTTCGTTTGGTTTGTGAAGCTACAGGTATCCCCACACCAGACATCACAGTCACTCTCCCATCTGGACTGAACGCTACTGTAGATTCAGTTGGGAAGGTGACAGTTGATGTGAATGGTACCATCATGATACGAGATGTAACTGTTGAAGATTCTGGTCAGTACGTCTGTACCGCAACAAATTCTGTCGGCTTCACACGTTCCGTCTCTATAGATGTCTTTTACCCCAATCCTCCTCCCACATTCTCCCTCGGTGTTATTGTTGGCACTGTGGGAGGTGCGTTAGCTGGCATTGTCCTCATTATTGGTATAATCATTTTCATAATCAGGCGTAAAAGAAGCAGCAGCAACCAAGGGACTCCTGTAGGCCAAGCCTTTTATAGTAGTGCCGTCGCCACAGCTACTGTGATAACCAGTGGGCAGGATCGGACAGGGCAAACCCAACCTATCAGTCCATCCATCAGAAATCCACAGCCCATTCCACGGCCAGTTTCCTCCGTGTCAGAGCATAGTTACGAAGCTGTGGACCCTCCTCCAACAGGGGAGTTTCCGAGGCAAACCACTAGAAGTCTATCTTCTGACGTCACACACCCTCTGCTTGCCCAACAGTCAGCTTCCCCCCAATCCGAGACTTACGAAGACATGCCATCTCTTCCTAGTGACCCCAGACAGGCCCCGGGTAACACTTCTGACGTTGAGCCTGCCAGTTCTGAGACTAATTACGTTGAGCCTGCCAGTTATGACCCTTCTTACGTTGAGCCTGCCAGTTATGAGAATGTACCTGTCAGTGAGCATGGCTACCAACCTCTGATTATGCCCTACAATGGCCAGGGCACTTTGCATGGCTACCAGCCACTTACATGGACCTAAACAGCCAGCAAAGATTAGATTTGGATTATACTAATGATTTAGTCTATCTACATTATACCAATGTGTTACCAAAACCTAAGCTTGGCACTGACTGCCTTCCACCATTTACACAATAGTATCTCTGTCTGTTATCTGTCATGATGAGTGTTATTGTACAGAGATGTTGCATAGGAGATCACTTTATACATATTTTTCATAGTGGCGGATATATGTGCACAGTCCTTGGTGCTGAATGCCTTCCCTTTACATTGCAGTTTGTTTGTTTGTATCGGTATCTCTGCTATAATGTGTGTTATTATACAGAGATATTGCATAGGAGATCACTTTATGCACATTTTTCATAGTGGTGGGTATATGTGCCCTGTCCTTGGTTCTGACTGCCTTCCATTAATATTGTTAGTAGTAGTATACAGAGATGTTGCACAGGAGAACTCTTAAGACAGATTTTATCAATACCTGACCTACGTACAGCTATCTCAAGAGGCTAGTACATTACTATCACATGTACTATACATTAGTCATTTTAGATGCAGTAAGATACCACAGTCGTATTTCACTATAATGGTACCTAGAACTGCTTTATCATATTTTGCCGCAGTATGTATGAAGAATTACCAAAAAGCTGTATACAATGCACACTTGAAAACCCTGTTTTTGACTCTAGATCATAACTACATTTAATGGTCAGTATTTGTACCAGTGTGCTTCTTGTATCCCATGTAAATGGATCATTGCAATGAATAGAGCATAACAGGTCTGAAGTACTGTTTTAAAAATGTCATTTTCTTTACTCGTTAAGAACTTACTTTGGACTGTCTAAGGACACGTCCTTACAGAGTCAATACCAGTTTATTAATGATGGGCTCTCCTGAGTGTGATTGAAAAGCTCGTAAGGTTTGCAAACAACTTCAAAGCATGTAGTACATGTACAGTGGATGCCATTCTTTACAACAGACAACACCACTTCACGGCTACATTAAGTTGTCCCCGACCAGGTGAGGTACTACAGGTACATGTACAGGTACAGGTGATCGTGTCAAGAACAACTCCCGTGTGTCTTCCAGACGTCGACTCTTGGTAAGTCTTATTCGTTAAGGTATATGTATCTGTACATTTCAGTTTGTGTTGAAAGTTCTGGCTAGTTTGTTCTCAATCCCGTGTTTTGGTCACTCAATAAGGTAGAGAGTTGTGATGCCAATTTCTGGCCTTGCCATTACTAGTGTTCTAGAGCTAGATTTGCGTGGTACTCAAAACAACTGCAAGACTTGGTACATGGTTTCTTAACTTTTAGCTCTACATGTAACTATAGCTAGTTGTAGTAGTCTATCATGATTTGGGCAAGCTTCCTTGGGGCCTACATTGTGTAGACAGAGCCCCGCTCAACTAGGCTCTCAATGATTTTGCTGTACGGTAACGTTTAACAGACTTCGTGTTGTATTGTCACATCTGTAATATGTTGGTTAAATGAAGTAAATCTATGGTTAACTCTACGCTTAACTGTCTAACCCTGTAACCAATGGAGAATTGTTAGCCAAATGGCTACTTTTTGTGTGGTAAAGATTAGATTGTTGGTCACATTACAATGATGTAACTAATACCGTTTGTTTCTATGCAACAGGCTCAACAGTGCCAAACATTCATAAATTATCGAAGCCGTCTTGACAGGAACGTCTGCCATAAACATCGCAGGTAAGCTTTTTTTTTCAAACAGTGGCACACATTGTCTTTTCTAGAGACTTTTTAGTCTGTAACTGTTTAAGAAATTGTTTAAAAAGTGCATGAGTGAAATTTACGTGAGTTCATGATGCAAGTTTTTCTTAATTGAAAAATCACACAAAGGGAATTATTTTTAGTCCTTTTTTTTGTTGGCTGTTTGTTTGTTTGTTTGTTTGGCTGGCTGGTATTTTTGATACATGTGTTGCTCCTAGAATATGAAGTAAAAGACAACATATTAATGCTTTTTGGTTTTATATGTAATAGTATCATGATCAAAGCTATTATTTTTTTTTATTAGAACAGGGAGTGCGCCATGATGTTTAAGAAGCCAACAGGTGTGCTGATGCTCCTCCTGGTCATCCTTAAGGTGTTGGGAACTGCAGAAGCTGCCTGCAGCTGCACAGCTTCAGCCTGTAACTGCAGCCGCCAGGGTCTCACCAGTGTTCCTCAGGACCTGCCGACAAACATCACCGAGTTGCATTTGGCATTGAACCAAATCACAACCATAAGTCAGTCTGATTTCTCACGTTATGGGAGCTTAGAGATTTTAGTACTTGATTATAATCGCATTTCTACTATCAACAGCCAGGCATTCTATCACTTGTCAAACTTGACCAGATTATGGCTTTACAGTAACCGAATAACAGCCCTCAGGTCTGACATGTTTGTAGGGCTGGAAAACTTGGTTGACCTTATTCTATGGAGTAATCCCATCAGTGAAATTCAGGCTGGAACTTTCAATCCAACACCAAAATTACAACGCCTGTTCCTTGTTGCTAATACGTTAACAGCCCTCAGATCTGACATGTTCACAGGACTGGGAAACTTGGAGGAACTTGGACTATCCCATAATGATATCAGTGACATTCAGGCTGGAACTTTTAATTCAACATCACAACTGAGAACGCTGCACCTGTCTAACAACAAGTTAACAGTGCTCAGAACGGACATGTTCACAGGGCTGGGAAACTTGGTTAGGCTTTATCTACACAGTAATAACATCAATGACATTCAGGATCATACTTTTAATCCAACTCCACAACTCAAATTCTTAAACCTGAACAACAACCACATTCAATCCATTGCATCCAACTTACTGGCAAATCTACTGAACCTTACGGAAGTCTCTTTATCTTACAACAGCATCACAGTGTTTCCATTTGAAGACTTGCTAAACATTCAAACAATTGTTACTTTACACCTTGACAAAAACCAAATGACAACTCTTCCCTCGGTAGCCTATGACATACTTTCCTCCATATCAAATGTAAAAATTGACAACAACCCCTGGCAGTGTGACTGTAGGATGGTTGACTTCAGGCTGAAGATGACAGGAACTTATCCATTTGAAAACCAGACAATCTGTTCCCAACCTGACCACCTCCGTGGTCAGAAGCTCATAGATGTCAGTCCTGAACATCTGATGTCATATTGTGTACCAACAATTGTGAGGTTTGAGAGAGGAGACAACATGACATTGTATTTTGGAGATACACTGTATTTGGTCTGTGAAGCTTCAGGAATCCCCACAACAGAAATATTTGTTGTTCTTCCAACTGGGCTTCATGCAACGTCTGATGTGGATAATAGAGTCACTGTGAGCATCACTGGTTTAGCAATTACACTGGCAATAACAGAGGTAACATTAGCAGATGCTGGTCTGTATGCCTGTATTGCAACAAATCATGTGGGCTCCGCAAGTGCCATTCTTGATGTAAATATAGTCTATGAAGAGCCAACCATTGTCAGGTTT